CGTATATGTTTATGAGGATTTGGTTTTGAAAGTATTGAAACACATTAGAGCACTATCATCTAGTTGGTCATCAGCTGCATGGACGATGGAATGGGCAACGCCGACACTTTCATTATCACAAATGATGCTCTTTCTGTGTTACTGATATTTCCACTGAGCTGTGTTGCCTTAGCTGTTCACCTTGATCCAACCTTGTCCATAATTTTTCTCCGCAAAGTTTTCAGGGAGTCCCATGCGAAGACTTGCGCAGACAGCTACCTCATAATTATTTTCGATCGTCCCTAGACCTCGGCCTTGACCAAACACAAAAGTTTTATCCGACCGAACTTGGACTCGCACTGTTAACCCACCAACGTCTTAGACATCTCGTCTTACCTTGCACGCGAGGCAAGGGATGCGTTTAACTTCAAGGCATGATCGCTGCGCACATTTATAAAGTAGAAATGGTTCTCGATTTTAATCCGCCCTAGAAGAGCCAGTGTGCGTTCCAACATGTGCTCTACAGCAGGATGGGCGCGCGGACGGTGATTTGCGCGTTAACTAGTTTATTGTGCTAGGAGACTTACGCTGCACCTACCGCATTCTCCCGTCTTCCCCATCTAGTCCCGCCGCCATGAATAAGCCAAGAAGACCGGCGGTGGTGGAAGACGATGCAGATGTTTGGCGCGACAAAACCCCGCACCTAAGCATGTGCCACCACACCGCCCCCATGCATGGCATTGGTTATGGATGCGCAGTCCAACAACGTGTGCCGTACCCTGATCTGGCCACCGTGTTGGCTCAGCGCAACTCCCGCATGACCCGCTGTAGGGAGCGGACCTAGCCTTAACACTAACCCTAACGACATTTCGACCGTCGTGACTGACGATGTCCACCGTGTGCTCCATAACGGGATGAGAGCGGAAACGGTAGCACACGCGTGATCTCTTCTACAGTAATGGCAGACTTGTACTGTATCTTCCGCACTCTTTCCTCCCTCACCTAGGTCCAGTGTCAAAACAAAGTCAAGAAGACTGGAGACGGGGGAAGACACAAGTGGCTGACACGATGTAAACTCGCGCCTAGGCTTGCCTCCGTACTTCCTGGTCCACAACGTACATTGAACAGGATTTTGTAAGACAGGAAAAAGGGACGCGCCTCGGACCACAGCTGGCGCGACATGGGCCCGCACCTGTGCATGCCGCCACACCCCAGTGTAGGCATCTGTTATGGATGCGCATTCTCAATAACGCCCTCAGGACCCCGACCTGACCGATGTGTTGGTCCATCGTATCTTCCGCGTGGCTCGTTTTACGGTCTCCCTAATACTAATCATAGCTCCAGCTCGCCCCTGGAATTTGGCGCGTAATTACGTGGAGTTCATACTACCGTGCCCTTTCGAAAAATCTGGGGTTGGGGTAGCAGCTTATAGGACATGTGAAGAAGGGCAAAATCGTCTCTTACAGTGCTTAAAGACCCGAAGATATCACTTTAAATCAATCAGTGGAAAAGCGATAGGCTACATCTAATCGCAACTGAGATTGGTTTTCCGCACCCAGCGTCTCCTACTTCTCCCCAACTAACCCTCAGCCGCTCAGCTCAACAACACTTTTTTGCATTTTTCAGTTACATGAACATTGCTCTTTGCATCAGGCCGGAAGCTAATTGTTTTAGCTTACCTCGGACAACTTTTGGACTGGCATTGGATTCAGTCCCTTCCGAGTGGGCCTTGGAGCCCTGTACCTGATAAGCTGTCTGCGTCAGGAAATGGAGCTTTCGCCCTTATTGAAAATGCCCTCAACGTGGCAGTTCTCTTCCAGTTATAAAGGACTTTACTAGCCGAGGGTAATTCCATTATATTTTTAACGTTTATCTTCAAACGATATGGAAAAGTCGGACGCACGCAACAACATGACTTCAGTGCTCACTGTGGAGTATGCTTAATGGAAGAGTTGATTTTTTTGACTGGCGTCAGAAACTACGCACTACTTATATTTACGTATCTTTATTGGTGCTTAGTCTACATCAGTTACTTACTATCTGTGACTGTCTCTGATGACGGGTTCGAGTGAGAATCTAAAACATCAGGCTAATAAACTTCTTGTCCCAGTGATCGCGTCTTCTTTTTCCGAGCTACTTACTGTCTCAGAGAACACAAGTTTTGCGAAGAAGAAACCGCCTGCATGATGGCAACCGTTGAGAATCTCATGTTTATTTGGGAGATCTCATGTTCAGGCACATAATGACAAGTGAGTTTATCAAAAACCAGCTTTCCATTAGCACCCATAGCCGGGTGTCTTGTACCGTTGCACGAAGAAATACTAGGTAAGTTCTAATCTTCAATGACTTTTAAATGTTTCCCTTAGGTATATCTACCTCGGCTTATGCAACGAGATTTACAAGAAAGCCCGCGCCCATTACTAAACATTGAACTCTGTCCCAACCACTTGGAACTGGCATCAGTGCATCTCTGCATCTCATGTTTGTCCGGCCTATCTCATTCAGATCAGCTATTTACTATCCTTATTGGACATGCGAGAAGTGAAATGTCAGAGCTCCGACTGGGATCAGCGGCGGTGGGCGCAACCCGTCGAACCAATGGCTCCTTCCACTTTCCTGCTAAATTGTTAGAACCATTGTGACTACAAAAATTTGACTGCTTTCAGATGATTAATTGCTCTTGAGCAATAACTACAAAAAGGACGTACCGGTGACCTTTGATTTATTCCAGAGAAGATCGAATTCTCCGCATACTTGCGACCAATGAAGGTCAGGGCAGTTTTCAAGATGTCGGTAGGCAGCTACGTGATTATCAGCCTTTGGAAGAGCAGATAAGCGCCATGATTATAATTTGCTTCTGACAATTAGTTAGCTTACTTGTATTAACCAAATCTTCGTCCAGGATATCTGGACATGTTTCATGATTCTTCGTGACAGAGAACGTCTGAACAATTATGCGTAGCTTTTCTAACATTACTGACATACTATCCGACAACTTTCAGTCACTGCCTGACCTCTGCACCTCACGTAACTTCATTTCTATGCAAGGGAAAACTTTCACAATAAGACTGGTCAAGCGCCGTGGTATCAGGTTGCTAACGAGAAAATAACATTCGCCGTTTACGGAGACTCTGTAGTAAATCTTTCTCGTCATCAAACTTACCTCAGTGGGTAAGTCTGGCAAGGATGTGTGTGATCTCGGTGACCTTGCCCTCGGCTTCTTCGCTCTAGAATTAAAGTAACTTTTTAGTGTCATAAAATCAAAATGTAGTATTTGTTCTGTTATCAACCGTAAGTTACCTATCTTTGCTGAACGTGGTAAAATGAATCTTGATGGCAGGTTGCAGAGGCTCTGGGCTCAGTTTATAAATTCTGAACTGTTTACTTGAGAAAATGATGTATTACAGTGGTTTTAGTTAAACTTTCCTGAAAAGTTGGTTAGTTAACCGTTGCTCCTCACTCCGCGTATCAGTGATGAATTACACAACCTGGGCGATTAGCCTCTTAACTGTTAAATGCTTTTGACTGTGGGGAAAATGTGTTACCCGATCAGATTACGAGACATGTTCATCCCGCTGTACTCTGGGGACCAGTCTGGAGTCTTCGCAGGAAGTCGTACAACGACAAAGACAATGAAAACTGGGATGGCCAATTCTGACTGATGACCGCTAATGACAGTTCGACCGTCGATTTCGACGATGTCCACCGTGTGCCCCACAGCTGCAGCAGCGGTGGGAGCAGGGACGGTGACTTACGCAGGGGTTTATAGTGCCAGTAGACTTGCGTAGCATCTACCTACACTCTCTCCTCCTCCCCCGCCTGGACCCGGTGTCAAGACAGAGTCAAGAAGACCGGAGACAAGGGAGGCCGCAGGTGGATGGCTCGGACGGATCCTCACCTTGGCGTTCCACCACACCCCCTGGTCCACACAACAATAACCAGGATTTGAACCAACACAACATAGATTTGGAGGCTGGCACGGCCGAAGCCGCACCTGGGCGTGCCGCCAACGCCTGGCTCGGATCCCACACTGTGATGGGAATGCCATAAAGGCCACATTAAAAAGGAGCCATTGCAGCCTGACTCTCAGACCGCCTCCAGTAATGGAGGAGGTCCAAGGTACCCCGTCAGTTGGCAACCTTCCAAGCCACGGCTTTTAGCGCACCGTGATAGCTTCAAGCGCGTCAGATTGTTTATAGTGAGGAAAATGCGCTGAGTCGTCGACCTCACGCTCCCTTCCCATTCCCACACCCCAGCCACTGTCCGAGCCGGTCAGTAGACTGGAGTGGGGAATGGGCGCGGTGGCTGACATGGTCGACTGACCATGCCTGCGCGCGCCACAGCACGACCTGGCCCCCCATACACACAAACACCAGGATTTCACACAACGGGGGTTGAACGGCGTGTCTCTCACATGCGTGAGAGTGCCGTGGAAGGTGCTGATTCAGCCCGTCCCCAGCCCACCAGTCCGCCACTACACAACACACACAACGTGACGAACTGCGTGAACCGAGAGCGGGCGTCAATCAGCAACCTTCCTATCCACGACGCTTGACGTGTCGGGATAGTCTCGGACTCAAGTCACTCGTGCAGCCGAGGCCGCATGGGTACCGAGTCGAGATGCGGACTTCCCACTTGCGTGGGAGGCGGCAGTTGAGTGCATGAGGTGTGTGAGGGTTGACGTCTAGTGGGGTGATGATGTTAGGAGGTAGGGAGTGAGGGAATGTGTGGTGTGACCGGCGGTTGTCTA